CAGCAGAGCTCCATTTCAGAGTCAGAACAAACCGCTCTTTTGTATGTAAGAGAGCTCACCAGCACGCTGTGAAGTGGAAAGATGTGAATTTATCAGGCTTTGTATAGATTCCAACAGTTGCTCGGATGCAAATTTTGAGAAGTGGATTTGTTTTTTATGACTATCTGCCTAGTACAAAACGTTCTTTACTTGGCTAAAGAGAAAGCCCTTTAATTATCTTTTCAGGAATCCTTGATGAGTGTGTAGATTCTAAAGTTACCGACCAGAGCAGCCCCCTGACAGCCCCTTCTTCTTCTAAACATGAATTAACTGCAAACCACAGTTCTCTTCCCCACACATAGTACTTTTCTCAACACAGAGCAATTAACATCTCCATCAAGTAAAATCTCCAGTTGTATCATATGGTCCAAGCTACTCTCAGGCCACTCACCCATCTGGTTCATTATTTCTGCCATTTGCCAGCATGTGGGTCTGTGTGTGCCTGAGTGGCGAGGGGCGACAGAGGCAGCTGGGTGTCTGGAGTAACACGTTACCACATGTGCCTGGTCAGGTTTTAACCCTCTGTCCTTCTAACGAAGCAGGGCAGGGCAGCTAGCGCTGGTCACAGAACCCTGGGATTTCAGCTCTGATCCATGCTCTGCCTAGTGTCTCTGGAGGACATTCACAGTATGGAAGAAATAAATGTTTGGGATTAATTAGGTGGAAAGTGAGAGCCTGGAACTTTCTCAGCTGTGAAAGAAATTCTACAGATCAAGGAAATAATGGTGATTCTGAATGAAAGACAGAAGCTTTTGAGGCAGTGAAGGAAAATGTATTTAGGAAAATAAACGTGAAAGTCTCAAATTGTGTGTGTCTTCCAAAATCATGCATATGCAGGTTAATTTGTACATACTAGTCAAATCCTTACGTCAAAGGTTAAACTTTATCCTTACCTTTCAGGTGATTTGGTTCTATGGCATTCTACATACAGGTATTTCTACCCAACTATTAATTTTTCTTTAAATTGCTTTGAAAGTGTATAAATATGATTTTAAAAAGTAAAGCTGAAAGGAGAAAGGTTGCGATTTACACACTATTTGGCACTTAATCTGGGAAATGTTCAGCCTGGAGTCTTGCTTATCCACAGTTACTATTTATCAAACTGTCCATCGAAATCACTAGAGAATACAGAGAGCACGCCAGACAGTTCCTGTGATTTGTGAACAGCCATTATTATGTACTGAAAGAAAGAAAAGAGGAAGAAAAAGAAAGAAAAAAGATAGCCCTTCTAACATGTGCTAATTATAACACTTTTGATGAATTATCAGTCAATCCCAGCAAGGGTGTTACCAGCAACACATTTTACTTGTCCTTGTTTCAATGTACTGCTTACATTATTTTCCATCAAAGAAAAAATAAGAACCCAAACTAAAATGTGTGTTTGATAAAGTCTCCTCCCAGGATGTCCAGTGACCTTGTACAGTGTTAGTTGTGGCTGCTGAGCTGGGATGGAAAGTACAGACAGAGAGGCAGAAAGGAGAACGGTCAATGGGCCTTGACACAGTGTGGAGCTCAGCTTACTATGTGCTGCTGTTGGCTCTAACTCCTTTGGTTGCATCTAAACCAACTTCTGCTCATTGAAGATGATGGAGGGCATTAGAACAGGATATGATGGCACTGCAAGGCTGGTGTCTTCTCTACTAGCCTGGGCAGCTTGAGCACATTGTTTAGCCCTTTGTCCTTTCTTCTTTTATTACTTGTAAATTGTGGACAACAGTGGAAAGATTCCGTTAGGCTTGTGGGCACTTTGAACGCAATTATCACAGGAAATACTGAGCCCATGGAGGTATTAGCATTACTCTAGTTCTTGTGGTGGCAGTAGATAAGGTAATGGAGGCAGAGTTGCTGAGCCTACTCGAGACATCATCACTCCATCCATTTCTTCACTGATTGTCACACACTCTGTCCTGTTCCCTTAGATGAACATAACTGCTTTGGACAGTTGTAAACTTCTGAGGCATGAAACTGGCCTCTGGGGTTTCCTCACTTTCCTGTTCCGTTGTCCTTGTTTAGCTTATTTCTCTCCTGCTGCTCTAGTGGATCACGGCCACTCACTCAAGTCCTCAGATACAGCCTAAACTGTCACTTCAGCTGTAGCTCTTCAAAACTGTGCTGTGCAAAGCTCAATCTCCTAAGACACACGACAGACAGAGACACACACAGAGAGACAGAGAGACAGTGAGTCACTGAATTAATTCAAATTGCTCTGTTGACACACTGTATCAACATCATATGTCTGAAGTTCAAAGAGCTCCTGTGGAGAGACTGCGCCTGGTAAAAAAGAATCTTTGAAATGAGAGATTGTCAGACGGAGATTGTAGGCTCACTGGGTAGGGAAACACCTGGGACAGACCATGTTAACATGTACCTGGCAGCTGTCTAGTCACTTCCTGCAGACAGTTCTGTCTACATGTGCGGATGGCTTGGCAAGGTCTGTGTGGGGCTGTGTGAGTGGTTTAGCTGGAGAGACAGATACATGCATCAATTAGATGACAGTACAAACCCAGTGATTAATGATGTTCTGAGACCACATAAAAAGGCCACAAGTAATTTATTAATAATAACTGGTACTCTGATGTGATAGAGTATCTTGTGGTAAAATATAAATACTGGACCATTAGTACCATAAAAATAGACCATTAGTATCACTGAGCATTGTCATGTAACGATCACCACTATTCAGAATCTTTTCATCAAAACCCAAAGGAAACCCCATGACTGTCCCCATTCTTCCCTTCACTTTAGTACCTAGGAACTACTTTATGCCTATTTAGAAGCTGAATCACACAATATGTGCTTTAGC